CTGTCATCAGAATTTCTGGGAGGATCGCCGCGGATCCACTGATGCCAGGGCTTCTCTCCGGTGGCTACGACGTCATGGGAGGATTGCTTGCCTTTGCTTGTCAGGTCCTTGTCTCGCGAGGTGCTTGACACGTCCATGCCGTGCTTCTTGGCATATAAAGTTTTCTCCTCTTCTATCTGTATGAAAGTTTGAGCTCGGTGGAGTGCGTCTTCTATGGTGTCCTTCGGGTTCTTCTGAAAATCTTCCTTGAAAAATGATTTGAACCATAGACCGTTCATGAGTGCCTCGATGGCGAAAGCCTGCAGGATCTGGCCGTACGATGCGGCGGTGTCCTTGAATTTTCTGATGAAATCGCGGAGTGGTTGGTCGCGCTCATGTACCAGAGTAAAAAGGTTGACCGTCCTCTTCGTGATGAACATAGAGTAGTGTTTTATAAAGGTGTGGGATAGGTCCTTGAAGGATTTGATCGATGCTGGCAGGAGGTTGGAGATCACTTGAGAGCGTCTTTGCTGAGGTGCTCTACGAAGGTCTGACAGTGATTAGCTTCGCGTTCGAGGTTGGTCTCGAACCGTTGCCTCTTCATGGCGACGTTGAACCCGGTCAGCCATAGGTTTGGGTCCTCCGTCCCGTTGTAGTAAGGGAGTTTTTGCTTGATCGCCGCGCCGAGACGAACGTCGGTGATCCGCGAGGTGAACGGGTTGCGCTCGGTGTCCGACAATATGGCCGAGATCTTGGGTGCCAAACTGGTGGCGCGGTGAACTTGAGATCCGATTGCGTTAATCCGCTGAGGCAACCTCGCGATCTCAGAATTCAGTTCGTCGGTTGGTTTGTCATTGGCCGGTGCTGCGCCCCAAGTGTTGCCTTACTCTGGCATTTCGAAGATCAGGCGTCGTCCTACGTATTAAAAAAACTTATGGACCATTTTATTCTAAATATTCATATAATTTCATAAAAAGATTTTTTTTAAAAACAATTCGTCCCATTAATTAATGGAACATAATGTTGGGTGATGGGACGTCACACTACGTGTCCCCTCAAGTAAGCCTCACTGACTACAGATGTACGTTTTGACCGGACTTTGGAAATCCCACGTTTTAGTTTCTCACCAATGATCAATATTCCTCTTTTATTGCATGTCCATAAAGAGGTATTGCAATAGTGATAATATCAATTGAACACCTTTGGATTATATATTGTGAATCACAATACTGATTATAAACACTTTACTCGTGGTCTTATTTTCTTAAAGGTACAGTGTTCATGAAAGGAATATAAGTATATAAATCAGTAATTAGCAATCTAAGTTTGTTTGCGGGAGTATATGATCAAGTGATTTTACCAATGTGAGCAATGACATTGCTACCACCAATTTATTGTATTAGCTTGTTTCTCTCATTTTCTTGTAAAGCTATTTTTATTGATATTTACTCTGGCCTTTGTGACCCTAAGTGGCTTGTATATTGTAGTAATTCGTAAAACTCGGAGAAAAATGTCATTAGTGTTTTTGGAGTATGATTTGACAAAAAGTTGTCATTAGTTGTCATTAGTGCTTGTGCTCTTAATCTTCGTATTTTCAAGAATTATTTGTATAAGCATCCCTTTAATTGTATAGGTGCTTGATTCTTTTTTTTTTTGACAACTTTAAAAGTAAAGTGGAAAAACTCTAGAAAGCTAGTCAGGTTATCTTAAGATTACGGTCCAAAACAACCTTTTTAATCATAAATAATTTTTCCATTCTAATTAATTAGAGTTTTAACGTTTTCAAATTTTAAAGAAATATTTTAGATTATATTCTGCAAATCAAAACTTGAGAAAATGAAGATTTTTGACATCAGTTAATCTCGTATACATGGTCTATTACCGAAAAAAATTTCTTTTTTTTCAAGCATTTTGGAGTATGCAATCCACTAACAGAAGCCATTCCAACAACAAAATGCTAAAATAGGAAAAAAGGTCTCACCTTAGATTCTACCTCTGTTTGAAAGGATGTGGATCCGGACATTAATAACACAACGTGTGATAAGAAATATTCGGGTTCCATGTAAAAACTTGTAACTTTCATTTGATTTTTGAGCATCATAATTAGTCTGTTCTAAGCAATCATTTTTCTAAAACTTTGCAGTTCTTTTAGAATGCTCATGTCTGAATTCTTACAATTCTCGTTTGTTTTGCTTTTGCTTATTTTAAATAATCTATTTATTTGGTAATAAAAAAAGTTAAATGTTTTATAAAATAGAAATAGAGCAGTGTATATATTGATTGCATTCTCTATCAAAATAGTTATCATTCATTTTATGCATAACTAAACTGATTGTTCCCATAACACGTAAAATAAGAATCATAAATGTTTGCATATACCACAAGTGATGTTTAGTTAAACATCTAAAAAATGGTGATCATATATGTGAGTATATTAGAGTACTACATATAGTAAAACCAAAAACTATCATAAATATTTAACACATTATATCGCTAAACACAAGATAATGTAATTCTATTAAGTTTCTTATTAATCAATATTGAATAATTACACTTTTGGAAATTTTATCATAACATCATTGAAAAAGCGAAAGGAATCAAAATCTTTTGACGCAAAACATTGTTCTCATCTCTAATCGGAGATTTTGCTTTCTTGATTTTTATGAATATATCTTCACAAATTCTCGGTGCATCAAAAGCTGAAATCAGATACTCATTAGCTCTTCTGTAATCCTGTGATTTAACGCTCGTTAAAGCTTTGTTTAAAAAACTATTTGCATCTTTATAAAGCTCGATGCAATCACGTAATGCTGCCTTATTACCAGGAGAAGTTTTCCTTTCATTGAGAATCGTTTTAGTGATTCTTTCCACGTTAATCGTGTTGTATGCAGCATTCTTCGTTGATGCTATGACCAATCCTTTGATACTTGTTGCATTTTTGCTATGAGGATCCGATTCAAGAGACTCGACGCAAAAATCGTACTTCATATTCCGATCTTTCGCTGCAGCTTTCTCGCAAGAATCTCGAATCAGAGTTTGTGAGGTTGCGAAACAATTTAAGAGGAGAAAGAACATAACAAAAGAAACAAAGAAATTCATTTTTAATTTATTTTTTCTTTGGGAGGCAGAGAAAGCAATAATCGATTGATGATGTAAACTTTTGATTTAGTGATTAGATTTATAGTAAAACTGAAACAAATAATTTCAGAGTATGAATGCAAATTTAGTGTAACGGCTTTTCCCATTAAGGGCGTAATTGTTCATTTTAATTAAATTATATCCTTTTATGTTCATTCATCACAAAACTATTTCCTTTTTAAGATATATAAATCATTGTTTCTAGCATAATCAATCTATACAATAAATATATAAAATTATAAAATATTCAATTTTAATGATTAGCATTCGCAAGTTTCATGTTGACTAATTTATTTGTTCGGTATAGGCCAACATGCAAATCTGGCCTTCCATATAGGCACATTAAATTTAGTCAACTCGATTTAATGTGTTTCAAAATTTCAAGCATTTTGTGTAGGAGTTTGATTCCTTTTCTTTTTGTTTGATGCCAACCTATTAACTAAACTAGAAGCATTGGGCTTTGATCCAAACCTGTAACACCACCTTCCAATTCAGTAAGATTGTCAAATAGTTGAGTGAATGATATGTAAGACAAGGATAAGAGATTTCCTAAAAACCCAACAAATAGCTATAGAGTAAGGGAAAATATATGCTCTCGTTTGATGATGTTACATATGTTTTAGCTTTTATTTAGCGAGATTGACTCTATCTCTGTCAAGTCGATCATGTGTTACAAAAAAAAGTAAGTGATCAAAGTTAAATTTACCTTTTTTGGTAACACATAAAAAAAGATAGAAAAGTTAAGGGACCACTTGGGATGACCTATGATTATTCTAACAGATGGTTATATTACATGGTGGTCTATCTTCAAGCAAGCTGTTGAAGCAACCGGAGGAAAACTCGCAAAGCATGAGATTTTAGCTTTAATTACATAAAAGGCCGGCTTAGTTTTAGTATGGACCCTAGGATTAAAAATTATTTTGGACCATGAAATTTTATTTCTGTAAGTTTTACTTAATATTTTTTGTCTTTTAAAGGTTTTTGTGTATAAATTTTATAGATTGTTTTTATGAATACATCGATATATACGAATTAAAAAAAACTTATGAACTGTTTTATTCTAAATATTCATATAATTTCTTTAAAAAAAATCTTTTAGAAACAATTCGTCTCATTAATTAATAGAACATAATGTTGGGTGATGGGACGTCACACTACGTGTCCCCCCAAGTAAGCCTCACTGACTACAGATGTACGTTTTAACCGGACTTTGGAAATCCCACGTTTTGGTTTCTCACCAATGATCAATATTCCTCTTTTATTGCATGTCCATAAAGAGGTATTGGAATAGTGATATTATCAATTGAACATCTTTAGGTTATATATTGTGAATCACAATACTGATAATAAACACTTTTCTCGTGGTCTTATTTTCTTAAAGGTACAGTGTTCATGAAAGGAATATAAGTATATAAATCAGTAATAGGCAATCTAAGTTTGTTTGCGGGAGTATATGATCAAGTGATTTTACCAATGTGAGTAATGACATTGCTATCACCAAGTTACTGTATTAGCTTGTTTCTCTCATTTTCTTGTAAAGCTATTTTTATTGATATTTACTCTGACCTTTGTGACCCTAAGTGGCTTGTATATTGGAGTAATTCGTAAAACTCGGAGAGAAATGTCATTAGTGCTTTTGGAGTATGATTTGACAAAAAGTTCTCATTAATTGTCATTAGTGCTTATGCTCTCAATCTTCGTGTTTTCCAGAATTGTTGTATAAGCATCCCATTATTTGTATAGGTGCTTGATTTTTATTTTTTTATTTTACAACTTTATAAGTAAAGTGGAAAAACTCTAGAAAACTAGCCTGGTTATCTTAAGGTCACGGCCCAAAACAACCTTTTTAATCATAAACTGTTTTCAAAATTTATAGAAATATTTTAGATTATATTCTGCAAATCAAAACCTGAGAAAATGAGGATTTGCGACATCAGTTAATCTCGTATACATGATCTATTACCGAATAAAATTTCTTTTTTTTTCAAGCATTTTGGAGTATGCGATCCACAAAGAGAAGCAATTCCAACAACAAAATGCTAAAATAAGAAAAAGGGTCTCACCTTAGATTCTACCTCTGTTTGAAAGGATGTGGATCCGGACAGTAATAACACAACGTGTGATAAGAAATTTTCTGGTTCCATGTAAAAACTTGTAAGTTTCATTTGATTTTTGAGCATCATAATTAGTCCGTTCTAAGCAATCATTTTTCTAAAACTTTGCAGTTTTTTTAGAAGGCTCATGTCTGAATTCTTACAATTGTCGTTTGTTTTGCCTTTGCTTATTTTAAATAATCAATTTATTTGGTAATAAAAATAATTAAATGTTTTATAAAATAGAAATAGAGCAGTGTATATATTGATTGCATTCTCTATCAAAAAAGTTATCATTCATTTTATGCATAACTAATCTGATTGTTCCCATAACACGTAAAATAAGAATCATAAATGTTTGCGTATACCACATCAGATGTTTAGTTAAACATCTAAAAAATGGAGATCATATATGTGAGCATATTAGAGTACTACATATAGTAAAACCAAAAACTATCATAAACATTTAACACATTATATCGTTAAACACAAGATAATGTAATCCTATTAAGTTTTTTATTAATCAATGTTGAATAATTACACTTTGGGAAATTTTATCATAACATCATTGAAAAAGCGAAAGGAATCAAAATCTTTTGACGCAAAACATTGTTCTCATCTCTAATCGGAGATTTTGCTTTCTTGATTTTTGTGAATATATCTTCACAAATTCTCGGTGCATCAAAAGCTGAAATCAGATACTCATTAGCTCTTCTGTAATCCTGTGATTTAACGTTCGTTAAAGCTTTGTTTAAAGAACTATTTACATCTTTATAAAGCTCGATGCAATCACATAATGCTGCCTTATTACCATGAGAAGTTATCCTTTCATTGAGGATCATTTTAGCGATTCTTTCCACGTTAATCATGTTGAATGCAGCATTCTTCGTTCATGCTATGACCAATCCTTTGATACTTGTTGCACTTTTGCTATGAGGATTCGATTCAAGAGACTCGACGCAAAAATCGTACTTCATATTCCGATCTTTCGCTGCAGCTTTCTTGCAAGAATCTCGAATCAGAGTTTGTGAGGTTGCGAAACAATTTAAGAGGAGAAAGAACATAACAAAAGAAACAAAGAATATCATTTTTAATTTATTTTTTCATTGGGAGGCAGAGAAAGCAATAATCGATTGATGATGTAAAATTTTGATTTAGTGATTCAATTTATAGTAAAACTGAAACAAAGAATTTCGGAGTAGGAATGCAAATTTAGTATAACGGCTTTTCCCATTAAGGACGTAATTGTTTATTTTAATTAAATTATATCCTTTTTTGTTCATTTATCTCAAAACGATTTCCTTTTTAAGATATATAAATCATTGTTTCTAGCATAATCGATCTATACAACAAAATATTAAATAATAAAATATTCAATTTTAATGATTAGTATTCGCAAGTTTGATGTTGACTAATTTATTTGTACGGTATAGGCCAACATGCAAATCTGGCCTTCCATATAGGCACATTAAATTTAGTCAACTCGCTTTAATGTGTTACAAAATTTCAAGCATTTTGTGGAGGAGTTTGATTCATTTTCTTTTTGTTTGATGTCAACCTTTTATTTAAACTAGAAGCATTGGACTTTGATCCAAACCTGTAACACCGCCTTCCAATTCAGCAAGTTTGTCAAATAGTTGACTGAATGGAATGTAAGGCAAGGATAAGAGATTTCCTAAAAATCCAACATATAGCTCTAGGGTAAGGGAAAATATATGCTATTGTTTGATGATGTTACATATGTTTTAGCTTTTATTTTGCGAGATTGACTCTATCTCTGTCAAGTCGATCATGTGTTACAGAAAAAAGTAAGTGATCAAAGTTAAATTTACCTTTTTTGGTAACACATAAAAAAGATAGAAAAGTTAAGGGACCACTTAGGATGACCTATGATTATTCAAACAGATGTTTATATTACATGGTGGTCTATCTTCAAGCAAGCTGTTGAAGCAACCGGAGGAAAACTCGCAAAGCATGAGATTTTAGCTTTAATTACAGAAAAGGCCGGCTGAGTTTTAGTATGGACCCTAGGATTAGAAATTATTTTGGACCATGAAATTTTATTTCTGTAAGTTTTACTTAATATTTTTATCTTTTAAAGGTTTTTTGTGTATAAATTTTATAGATTGTTTTTATGAATACATCAATATATACGAATTAAAAAAACTTATAGACCGTTTTATTCTAAATATTCATATAATTTCTTTAAAAAAAAATCTTTTAGAAACAATTCATCTCAATAATTAATGGAATATAATGTTGGGTGATGGGACGTCACACTACATGTCCCCCAAGTAAGCCTCACTGAATACAGATGTACGTTTTAACCGGACTTTGGAAATCCCACGTTTTGGTTTCTCACCAATGATCAATATTCCTCCTTTATTGCATGTCCATAAAGAGGTATTGGAATAGTGATATTATCAATTGAAAATCTTTGGGTTATATATTGTGAGTCACAATACTGATTATAAACACTTTTCTCGTGGTCTTATTTTCTTAAAGGTACAGTGTTCATGAAAGGAATATAAGTATATAAATCAGCAATCAGCAATCTAAGTTTGTTTGCGGGAGTATATGATCAAGTGATTTTACCAATGTGAGCAATGACATTGCTATCACCAAGTTATTGTATTAGCTTTTTCTCTCATTTTCTTGTAAAGCTATTTTTATTGATATTTACTCTGACCTTTGTGATCCTAAGTGGCTTGTATATTGTAGTAATTCGTAAAACTCGGAGAAAAATGTCATTAGTGCTTTTGGAGTATGATTTGACAAAAAGTTGTCATTAATTGTCATTAGTGCTTGTGGTCTCAATCTTCGTGTTTTCCAGAATTGTTGTATAAGCATCCCATTATTTGTATAGGTGCTTGATTTTTATTTTTTTATTTTACAACTTTATAAGTAAAGTGGAAAAACTCTAGAAAACTAGCCAGGTTATCTTAAGTTCACGGTCCAAAACAACCTTTTTAATCATAAACTATTTTTCCATTCTAATTAAAGGTCTTTGTGTATAAATTTTATAGATTGATTTTATGAATACATCGATATATACGAATTAAAAAAAAACTTATGGACCGTTTTATTCTTAATTTTCATATAATTTCTTCAAAAAAACTTTTTTAGAAACAATTCGTCTCATTAATTAATGGAACATAATGTTGGGTGATGGGACGTCACACTACATGTCCCCCCAAGTAAGCCTCACTGACTACATATGTACGTTTTAACCAGACTTTGGAAATCCCACGTTTTGGTTTCTCACCAATGATCAATATTCCTCTTTTATTGCATGTCCATAAAGAGGTATTGGAATAGTGATATTATCAATTGAACATCTTTGGGTTATATATTGTGAATCACAATACTGATTATAAACACTTTTCTCGTGGTCTTATTTTCTTAAAGGTACAGTGTTCATGAAAGAAATATAAGTATATAAATCAGTAACCAGCAATCTAAGTTTGTTTGCGGGAGTATATGATCAAGTGATTTTACCAATGTGAGCAATGACATTGCTATCACCAAGTTATTGTATTAGCTTGTTTCTCTCATTTTCTTGTAAAGATATTTTTATTGACATTTATTCTGACCTTTGTGACCCTAAGTGGCTTGTATATTGTAGTAATTCGTAAAACTCGGAGAGAAATGTCATTAGTGCTTTTAGAGTATGATTTGACAAAAAGTTGTCATTAGTGCTTGTGCTCTCAATCTTCGTGTTTTCCAGAATTGTTGTATACGCATCCTATTATTGGTATAGGCGCTTGATTTTTATTTTTTTTATTTTACAACTTTATAAGTAAAGTGGAAAAACTCTAGAAAACTAGCCAGATTATCTTAAGATGACGGTCCAAAATAACCTTTTTAATCATAAACTATTTTTCCATTTTAATTAAATAGAGTTTTAACGTTTTCAAAATTTATAGAAATATTTTAGATTATATTCTACAAATCAAAACCTGAGAAAATGAGGATTTTCGACATCAGTTAATCTCGTATACATGGTCTATTACCAAATGATTTTTTTTTCATGCATTTTGGAGTATGCGATCCACAAAGAGAAGCAATTCCAAAAACAAAATGCTAAAATAGGAGAAGAGGTCTCACCTTGGATTCTACCTCTGTTTGAAAAGATGTGGATCCGGACAATAATAACACAATGTGTGATAAGAAATTTTCTGGTTCCATGTAAAAACTTGTAATTTTCATTTGATTTTTGAGCATCATAATTAGCCCGTTCTAAGCAATCATTTTTCTAAAACTTTGCAGTTTTTTTAGAAGGCTCATGTCTGAATTCTTACAATTGTCTTTTGTTTTGCTTTTGCTTATTTTAAATAATCTATTTATTTGGTAATAAAAATAATTAAATATTTTATAAAATAGAAATAGATCAGTGTATATATTGATTGCATTCTCTATCAAAAAAGTGATCATTCATATTATGCATAAATAATCTGATTGTTCCCATAACACGTAAAATAAGAATCATAAATGTTTGCATATACCACATGGGATGTTTAGTTAAACATCTAAAAAATGGTGATCATATATGTGAGCATATTAGAGTACTACATATAGTAAAACCAAAAACTATCATAAACATTTAACACATTATATCGCTAAACACAAGGTAACGTAATTCAATTAAGTTTCTTATTAATCAATGTTGAATAATTACACTTTGGGAAATTTTATCATAACATCATTGAAAAAGCGAAAGGAATCAAAATATTTTGACGCAGAACAATGTTCTCATCTCTAATCGGAGTTTTTGCTTTCTTGATTTTTGTGAATATATCTTCACAAATTCTCGGTGCATCAAAAGCTGAAATCAGATACTCATTAGCTCTTCTGTAATCCTGTGATTTAACGTTCATTAAAGCATTGTTTAAAGAACTATTTGCATCTTTATAAGGCCCGATGCAATCACGTAATGCTGCCTTATTACCATGAGAAGTTTTCCTTTCATTGAGGATCGTTTTAGCGATTCTTTCCACGTTAATCGTGTTGAATGCAGCATTCTTCGTTGATGCTATGACCAATCCTTTGATACTTGTTGCACTTTTGCTATGAGGATTCGATTCAAGAGGCTCGACGCAAAAATCGTACTTCATATTCCAATCTTTCGCTGCAGCTTTCTTGCAAGAATCTCGAATCAGAGTTTGTGAGGTTGCAAAACAATTTAAGAGGAGAAAGAACATAACAAAAGAAACAAAGAATTTCATTTTTAATTTATTTTTTCTTTGGGAGGCAGAGAAAGCAATAATCGATTGATGATGTAAATTTTGATTTAGTGATTCAATTTATAGTAAAACTGAAACAAAGAATTTCAGAGTAAGAATGCGAATTTAGTATAACGGCTTTTCCCATTAAGGACGTAATTGTTCATTTTAATTAAATTGTATCCTTTTTTGTTCATTTATCTCAAAACAATTTCTTTTTTAAGATATATAAATCATTGTTTCTAGCTTAATCGATCTATACAATAATTATATAAAATCATAAAATATTCAATTTTAATGATTAGTATTGGGAAGTTTCTTATTGACTAATTTATTTGTTCGGTATAGGCCAACATGCAAATCTGGCCTTCCATATAGGCACATTAAATTTAGTCAACTCGCTTTAATGTGTTTCAAAATTTCAAGCATTTTTGTGTAGGAGTTTGATTCCTTTTCTTTTTGTTTGATGTCAACCTTTTAACTAAACTAGAAGCGTTGGGCTTTGATCCAAACCTGTAACACCGCCATCCAATTCAGCAAGTTTGTCAAATAGTTGAGTGAATGGAATGTAAGACAAGGATAAGAGATTTCCTAAACAAATAGCTCTAGAGTATATACGAATTAAAAAAGCTTTTGGACCGTTTTATTCTAAATATTCATATAATTTCTTTTAAAAAAATTCTTTTAGAAACAATTCGTCTCATTAATTAATGGAACATAATGTTGGGTGATGGGACGTCACACTAAGTGTCCCCCCAAGTAAGCCTCACTGACTATAGATGTACGTTTTAACCGGACTTTGGAAATCCCACGTTTTGGTTTCTCACCAATGATCAATATTCCTCTTTTATTGCATGTCCATAAAGAGGTATTGGAATAGTGATATTATCAATTGAACATCTTTGGGTTATATATTGTGAATCACAATACTGATTATAAACACTTTTCTCGTGGTCTTATTTTCTTAAAGGTACAATGTTCAAGAAAGAAATATAAGTATATAAATCAGTAATCAGCAATCTAAGTTTGTTTGCGGGAGTATATGATCAAGTCATTTTACCAATGTGAGCAATGACATTGCTATCACCAAGTTATTGTATTAGCTTGTTTCTCTCATTTTCTTGTAAAGCTATTTTTATTGATATTCACTCTGACTTATATGACCCTAAGTGGCTTATATATTGTAGTAATTCGTAAAACACAGAGAGAAATGTCATTAGTGCTTTTGGAGTATGATTTGATAAAAAGTTGTCATTAATTGTCAACAGTGCTTGTGCTCTTAATCTTCGTGTTTTCCAGAATTGTTGTATAAGCATCCCCTAATTTGTATAGGTGTTTGATTCTTTTTTTTTTTTACAACTTTATAAGTAATGTGGAAAAACTTTAGAAAACTAGCCAGGTTATCTTAAGATCAGGGTCAAAACAACCTTTATAATCATAAACTATTTTTCCATTCTAATTAAATAGAGTTTTAACGTTTTCAAAATTTATAGAAATATTTTAGATTATATTCCGCAAATCAAAACCTGAGAAAATGAGGATTTTCGGCATCTGTTAATCTCGTATACATGGTCTATTACCGAACAAAATTTCTTTTTTTTTAAGCATTTTGGAGTATGCGATCCACAAAGAGAAGCAATTCCAACAACAAAATGCTAAAATAGGAAAAAGGGTCTCATCTTAGATTCTACCTCTGTTTGAAAGGATGTGGATCCGGACAATAAGAACACAACGTGTGATAAGAAATTTTCTGGTTCCATGTAAAAACTTGTAACTTTTATTTGATTTTTGAGCATCATAATTAGTCCGTTCTAAGCAATCATTTTTCTAAAACTTTGCAGTTTATTTAGAAGGCTCATGTCTGAATTCTTACAATTGTCGTTTGTTTTGCTTTTGTTTATTTTAAATAATCTATTTAGTTGGTAATAAAAATAATTAAATGTTTAATAAAATATAAATAGAGCAGTGTATATATTGATAGCATTCTCTATCAAAGAGTTATCATTCATTTTATGCATAACTAATCTGATTGTTCCCATAACACGTAAAATAAGAATCATAAATGTTTGCATATACCACAAGGGATGTTTAGTTAAACATCTAAAAAACTGGTGATCATATATGTGAGCATATTAGAGTACTACATAGAGTAAAACCAAAAACTATCATAAACATTTAACACAGTATATCGCTAAACACAAGATAATGTAATTCTATTAAGTTTCTTATTAATCAATGTTGAATAATTACACTTTGGGAAATTTTATCATAACATCATTGAAAAAGCGAAAGGAATCAAAATATTTTGACGCAAAACAATGTTCTCATCTCTAATCGGAGATTTTGCTTTCTTGATTTTTGTGAATATATCTTCACAAATTCTCGGTGCATCAAAAACTGAAATCAGATACTCATTAGCTCTTCTGTAATCCTGTGATTTAACGTTCATTAAAGCATTGTTTAAAGAACTATTTGCATCTTTATAAGGCCCGATGCAATCACGTAATGCTGCCTTATTACCATGAGAAGTTTTCCTTTCATTGAGGATCGTTTTTAGCGATTCCTTCCACGTTAATCGTGTTGAATGCAGCATTCTTCGTTGATGCTATGACCAATCCTTTGATACTTGTTGCACTTTTGCTATGAGGATTCGATTCAAGAGACTCGACGCAAAAATCGTACTTCATATTCCAATCTTTCGCTGCAGCTTTCTTGCAAGAATCTCGAATCAGAGTTTGTGAGGTTGCGAAACAATTTAAGAGGAGAAAGAACATAACAAAAGAAACAAAGAATTTCATTTTTAATTTATTTTTTCTTTGGGGGGCAGAGAAAGCAATAATCGATTGATGATGTAAATTTTGATTTAGTGATTCAATTTATAGTAAAACTAAAACAAAGAATTTCAGAGTAAGAATGCGAATTTAGTATAACGGCTTTTCCCATTGAGGACGTAATTGTTCATTTTATATAAATTGTATCCTTTTTTGTTCATTTATCTCAAAACTATTTCCTTTTCAAGATATATAAATTATTGTTTCTAGCATAATCGATCTATACAATAAATATATAAAATCATAAAATATTCAATTTTAATGATTAGTATTGGCAAGTTTCTTGTTGACTAATTTATTTGTTCGGTATAAGCCAACATGCAAATCTGGCCTTCCATATAGGCACATTAAATTTAGTCAACTCGCTTTAATGTGTTTCAAAATTTCAAGCATTTTGTGTAGGAGTTTGATTCCTTTTCTTTTTGTTTGATGTCAACCTTTTAACTAAACTAGAAGCGTTGGGCTTTGATCCAAACCTGTAACACAGCCTTCCAATTCAGCAAGTTTGTCAAATAGTTGAGTGAATGGAATGTAAGACAAGGATAAGAGATTTCCTAAACAAATAGCTCTAGAGTAAGGGAAAATATATGCTCTCGTTTGATAATGTTACACATGCTTTAGCGTTTATTTAGCGAGATTGACTCTATCTCTGTCAAATCGATCATGTGTTACAGAAAAAAGTAAGTGATCAAAGTAAAATTTACCTTTTTTGGTAACGCATAAAAAAAGATAGAAAAGTTAGGGGACCACTTAGGATGACCTATGATTATTCCAACAGATGGTTATATTACATGGTGGTCTATCTTCAAGCAAGCTGTTGAAGCAACCGGAGGAAAACTCGCAAAGCATGAGATTTTAGCTTTAATTACAGAAAAGGCCGGCTTAGTTTTAGTATGGACCCTAGGATTAGAAATTATTTTGGACCATGAAATTTTATTTCTGAAAGTTTTACTTAATATTTTTGTCTTTTAAAGGTTTTTGTGTATAAATTTTATATATTGTTTTTATGAATACATCGATATATACGAATTAAAAAAGCTTATGGACCGTTTTATTCTAAATATTCATATAATTTCTTTTAAAAAAATTATTTTAGAAACAATTCGTCTCATTAATTAATGGAACATAATGTTGGGTGATGGGACGTCACACTAAGTGTCCCCCCAAGTAAGCCTCACTGACTACAGATGTACGTTTTAACCGGACTTTGGAAATCCCACGTTTTGGTTTCTCACCAATGATCAATATTCCTCTTTTATTGCATGTCCATAAAGAGGTATTGGAATAGTGATATTATCAATTGAACATCTTTGGGTTATATATTGTGAATCACAATACTGATTATAAACACTTTTCTCGTGGTCTTATTTTCTTAAAGGTACAATGTTCAAGAAAGAAATATAAGTATATAAATCAGTAATCAGCAATCTAAGTTTGTTTGCGGGAGTATATGATCAAGTCATTTTACCAATGTGAGCAATGACATTGCTATCACCAAGTTATTGTATTAGCTTGTTTCTCTCATTTTCTTGTAAAGCTATTTTTATTGATATTTACTCTGACTTATGTGACCCTAAGTGGCTTATATATTGTAGTAATTTGTAAAACACAGAGAGAAATGTCATTAGTGCTTTTGGAGTATGATTTGACAAAAAGTTGTCATTAATTGTCAACAGTGCTTGTGCTCTTAATCTTTGTGTTTTCCAGAATTGTTATATAACCATCCCTTAATTTCTATAGGTGTTTGATTCTTTTTTTTTTTTACAACTTTATAAGTAATGTGGAAAAACTCTAGAAAACTAGCCAGGTTATCTTAAGATCAGGGTCAAAACAACCTTTATAATCATAAATTATTTTTCCATTCTAATTAAATAGAGTTTTAACGTTTTCAAAATTTATAGAAATATTTTAGATTATATTCTGCAAATCAAAACCTGAGAAAATGAGGATTTGCGACATCAGTTAATCTCGTATACATGGTCTATTACCGAATAAAATTTCTTTTTTTTTCAAGCATTTTGGAGTATGCGATCCACAAAGAGAAGCAATTCCAACAACAAAATGCTAAAATAAGAAAAAGGGTCTCACCTTAGATTCTACCTCTGTTTGAAAGGATGTGGATCCGGACAGTAATAACACAACGTGTGATAAGAAATTTTCTGGTTCCATGTAAAAACTTGTAAGTTTCATTTGATTTTTGAGCATCATAATTAGTCCGTTCTAAGCAATCATTTTTCTAAAACTTTGCAGTTTTTTTAGAAGGCTCATGTCTGAATTCTTATAATTGTCATTTCTTTTGCCTCTGCTTATTTTAAATAATTAATTTATTTGGTAATAAAAATAATTAAATGTTTTATAAAATAGAAATATAGCAGTGTATATATTGATTGCATTCTCTATCAAAAAAGTTATCATTCATTTTATGCATAACTAATCTGATTGTTCCCATAACACGTAAAATAAGAATCATAAATGTTTGCGTATACCACATCAGATGTTTAGTTAAACATCTAAAAAATGGTGAACATATATGTGAGCATATTAGAGTACTACATATAGTAAAACGAAAAACTGTCATAAACATTTAACACATTATATAGCTAAACACAAGATAATGTAATTCTATTAAGTTTCTTATTAATCAATGTTTAATAATTACACTTTGGGAAATTTTATCATAACATCATTGAAAAAGTG